AAGGGGAAAGAAAGTGGATGGCAATAAACGGGGAAAAGGAGGTAGGAGAGGAGGATGGAGAGGGAGGAAGACAAGCGTAAGGAAGAGAGGAGAAAGAGGAAGAGGAGATAGAGAAAGGAGTGAAGGAGGGAAAAAGGCGGATGACAATAAGAGGGGAAAAGGAAGGATGAGGAGGAGGGAGAGGGAGGAAGACAGTGTAAGGAAGAGAGGAGAAAGAGGAAGGAGGAGAAGGGAAGAAACGTGGAGAAGAATGGATAGAGGGAGGAACAATCTGGTGGAGAATTGGGGGAGAGGGATGGGAAGAATGGGGGGAAGTGGGAGAGAGGGAGATAAAGGAACAGGAAGGAGAGATGATGATGGTGAGGAGGGAGACAAGAAAAAGAGTGGAATGAGGGAAAGAGAGAGAAAAAGAGAGGAGAGAGACTTATTCAATCTACCAGCAAATGATAGAAATAGATATATAACAGCGTAACAGAATTATCAATATTCAGTTGTTATTTTTTTATGTAGGCTTATCTATATTATATATTTAGCAGAGCGATTCACGATTATTTTTTGTTATATGTATCTGTGTATTTGCATTACATGTTTATTTATTTAACTTTCTTTCCATTTTGGTCTGTTTCTCATTAATATTAATCTCCAGGTTATATATCTATTTTTTTTTATCTGTGTTTCATCGATTTTATATATTCATTTGAATTCGTGTCTCTGCTTCATGGAACTTCGGAAGTGAAGTGGACTAAAAAGAAAAGAAAAAAAATGTATAAAACAAAACATTAATTTTTCTGTTTCTAGCTTTTAGAAATTTTATATTGAATGATTTTTTTTCTCTCTCTCTCCACGCTTTTTTTTGGCAGTATTGATTAAGCGAATCTGACTTTCATTTTCATTTTGCAAATGGATGTAGTATATCAAACTGAAAATATATTTATCCTCAGTAAGCTGTTTTGATGTTACTGCCTTTTGCATTTTAGATACTTTTAATATTTGCCGTGTCCATCAATATTTTTTTATATTTTTATTAACTGAATTTACCTCATTTCACATCTGCGGAATATGAACAATTCTTGATTATTTAGATTGTTTTGATACAATGTAATCAATTTTAATATCAGCATTCTTAAATATATCCTTCTTATTCTTATATTCTTGATACCCAATAATGCAACCAACTTTTCATGATATAGATATTTTAATCAAGAGAATGAAACATTGTTTTTTAAGACTTAGATATTCTTAATGCACTGCATCGAATATTTTAACTCTCAAATATTTCAACATCTTAAAATTTACAATATTCTAAATGTCTTACGCACCTTTAATGCTGTCTAATTAATTATTTCTAATCTAATGATCACCTTTAGCAAATTGCACTTTAACTTTTTTATGATATGAATCATTTCAATAATTATTTATCCTTCTTCTTCCAAAAATTATTTCTAATCTAATGATCACCTTGTACTTTAACTTTTTTATGATATGAATCATTTCAATACTTATTTATCTTTCTTCTTCCCAAATTACAGGTGGTTGAAAGCAACGACAGCTGGCCCAACACCAGCTGGCCGACCACCAACTGTACCAATGGTTGGCAGTACGATTATTCGCTCTATTATCCCACAATCACTTCGCAGGTATGTGGGACAAAAAAAAAAAAAAGATAAATTGATGTTCATAAAAAGATGGGTTCCCTACTTTCACACACACACACACGCACACACACACAATACACACACAACACAATACACACACACACACACACACACACACACACACACACACACACACACACACACACACACACACACACACACACACACACACACGTTTTCTTCCTTCTTTGTGACTCTCAATCTTTTCTAATCTTACAAACATCCGTTTCATTGTCTTGGCAACATCCGCTCGACAAACTACCCCACCCACACGCGCCCACACCCCTCAAAAACAAACAAAGAAACAAACCAAGCACACATAAGGACCAAACAAACCACAGATTTAAAAAAATAGATAAATAAATCAACCCACCCGTCCACCTCCCTCTCCAATAAATAGATAGATAGATCGACAAACACCCACCCGCCCACCCGCCCACCTCCCTCTCCAATAAACAGATAAATAGATCAACCCACCCACCTACCCACCACCCACCCGCCCACCTCCTCTCCAATAAATAGATAAATAGATCAACAACCCACCCACCCCAACACCCACCTCCCCACCGCCCACCTCCCTCTCCAAAAACATAAATAGACCTACCCACCGCCACCCTCCCTCTCCAATAAACAGATAACAAATCAGCAACCCCCACCCAACCACCCACCTCCCCACCCCCCCCCCACCTCCTCTCCAATAAACATAAATAGATCAACAACCCACCCACCCACCCAAACCTCCTACCCGCCCATCTCCCTCTCCAATAAACAGATAAACAGATCAACAACCCACCCACCTCCCACCCCCACCTCCCTCTCCAATAAACAGATAACAAATCAACAACCCACCCATTCCCAAAAGCCCACCCACCCAACACCCTCCCTCTCCAATAAACCAGTAAATCACAAACCACCCACCCGCCCACCTCCCTCTCCAATAAACAGATAAACAATCAACAACCCACCCATCTACCCAAAAAGCCCACCCACCCACCCTCCCTCCCAATAAACAGATAAACAAATCAACAACCACCAATCCACCCACCCTCCCTCCCCATCCGCCTACCTTCCCTCTCCAATAAACAGATAAATAAATCAACAATCCAACCACACCCACCCACCCGCCCACCCTCCCTCTCCAATAAACAGATAAATAAATCAACAACCCACCCAACCCGCCCCACTCTCGTCCCCCTGCAGCTGGACTGGGTGTGCGACCAGGACTGGAAACCCACGCTGGCCCAGTCCCTCTTCTTCGTCGGTTCTCTGGTCGGTTCCCCGGTGCTGGGCTGGGCTGCCGACTCCTGGGGGCGCCTGCCGGTCATAGTGCTAACGAACGTGGTCGGGGGCGTGGCGGGGATCTGCTCGGCCTTCTGCGCCTCCTTCGCCTCCTTCACCGTCTTCAGGTTCATCGTCGGGATGACTTACGACACGCACTACAACGCGGTTTATATCCTGCGTGAGTTGTGGGGGAGGGCGGGGGCGCTGCCGTTGTCGGTGTTGTTGTTTGTTGTTTGTTGTCATTACTGTTGTTATTTGTGTTTTGATAAACATTTATCATTATTGTTGTTATTTGTGTTTTTGATATTATTATATTGTTGTAATTTGTGTTTTTGATATTATTATCATTATTGTTGTTATTATTATTATTGTTGTTTGTTGTTATTATCATTTATTATTATTATTATTATTATTATTATTATTATTTATTTATTATTATATTATTATTATTATTATTATTATTATTATTATCATTATTATTATTATTATCATTATTGTTTTTATTCATTTCATTGTTATCATTATTATCATTATTATCATTATTATCATTATTATCTTATTATCATTATTTCATTATATCATTATTATCATTATTATTATCATTATCATTATTATTATCATTATCATTATTATTATCATCATTATCATCACCATTATTATTATCATCATTATTATTATCGCCATCATTATTTTCATCATTATTATCATTATCATCATCCCTGTCATTATTCTATTATTATATTTAATTCATTATCATTATTATTATTATTATTATTATTATTATTATTATTATTATTATTATTATTATTATTATTATTATTATTATTATTATCATTATCATTATTATTATTATTATTATTATTATTATTATTATTATTATTATTATTATTATTATTATATTATTATCATTATTATCATTATCATTATCATCATCATTATCATCATAATTATTATCATTATTATTATTATCATAATTATTATCATCATTATTATTATCATAATTATTATCATTATTATTATCATTATTTTTCTAGCATTATCCTTATCATTCATCATTATTATTATTATTATTATATTTTTATATTATTATTATCATATTTTATTATCATTATTGTTATCATTATTATTATATCATTAAGTAGTAGTAGTAGTAGTAATATGATTATTGTTACTATTATCATTATTGTTATGAGCATTACTGTTATTATTATTGTATCATCATTATTATCATTATCATTGTTATCATTATTAAAATCATTATTATTGTTACTTATGATTACTATCATTATTAGTAGTATTGTCATAATTGTTATCATCATCATCATCATTATTGTTATCATTTTCTTTATAAATCCTCATTATCATCACCACAACCACCATTCATACCCATCATCACCATCACCTAGAAGGGGTACTTTGTAAAGTAGACGGCAACTTTGTAAAGTACAGTAAGTATAGTAAGTAAGTAAGTAAGTAAGTAAGTGCGCGCGTGGATGCTTGTTCCTTTGCAAAGAAACCGTGCGAATAGTGCACTGGCAAACGACACAAACCTCTATCACTATCCTAAAATTTCACTACAAATCAGTTTTATTGTTGTTGTTTTTTTTCTTTTGGTATATACTTTATCCGCCCACATCAGCTGATTCGCGCATGGTATAGAGTTGGAGCACTTTCTAGGGCAGTGTTGTCCAAACTGGGGTCCGCATGGTACGTGAACAAACATTAATTTGTGTATTTTTAAAGCATTTTGTTATTATTTTTTTATTCGTTTATTAAACATTTTGTGTATTTTTAAAGCATTTTGTTATTATTTTTTATTCGTTTGTTAAACGTTTTGTGTATTTTTAAAGCATTTTGTTATTATTTTTTTTATTCGTTTATTAAACATTTTGTGTATTTTTAAAGCATTTTGTTATTAAATCATATTTTTTATTCGTTTATTAAATTCGAATTCACTGACCAACACTCCTGCAATGCAGTCTTTTCTTAATTCGTATATAATTTGCATTATAAAATAGTTTGTTCAGCCATGGTGGACGGGGGAAGGGGTACGTAACGGTACAAGAAGGTATTAAAGGGTACAATAGGCGAAAAAAAATGGACAAAACTGTTCTAGGGGACCATGAAGCAATATGAAAATTTTTGACGTCGAATTAAAGTTAATCTTTATATAACTCACAGTGCTTTCATACAATTCTCTCACATATTAATGGATTGGAATCTTTCCATGAAGTGGTCTTGTCCTTTGCTTTGACCCATTACACTGTTCATAACTAGGAAAAGTAAGAGTGTAAAAAGATTAGGAACCACTGCGCGCTTAGGGACTTCACCTGCGAGCGAAGCAAAGACTGGACCACCGCCATCATCATCACCATAATCACCACCACCACTATCATCATCAACACCCGCCATCTGCATCCATTATCCTCAATATGATCCCAACACCTAACTATCAATCATCTTCATCACCAGTCAACCATAATCACCACCAAAGCTACCATCATGCATCTTTCATCATCATCCATAATCTACTGCACCACCATTATCATATCATAACATCTTACAACATCACAATAATGCACTACGCCAACCACATCATCGTGTCATAATAACATTGCACCGGTACCACCGTACAATATCAATCATCATCACACCGTAACCGACTATATTGCTTTCGATCATCACCTGATATAATGTCACGCACCTGTGTCTACCACTTCATCATCATCAGCACACATACCACCACCTAACGCACATCCGTCCGTACCGATATAGACTCTATGCCTGCAGTGCTCGCCTCGTTGCTGGACTGTGAAATGTGTATTGCTAGTGTCGCTGTATCGCTAACAGCTGATATCGTTCGTTATGCCTGTGCTATGTGTGTGTGTGTGATGTCGTCGCTGCTAGTGTGCAGCTGCACTAGTCACTGTGTGCATGCCCTCGTCCCTGTGTCTGCTCGTCGACTGCTAGTCCAGTAGGGAGAGAAAGAGCGCGAAAGACACGACAGAGACGCAGAGAGACTGTCGTCTCGCTGTGATGCCGTGTCTCTCGTGCTGCTGTGCCTCTTGTGTTCGCTAGTGCGTGTGAGTGACGTTGTTGTCGAGCGAGTGATGTGTGTTCCGTGATGTGGTCGTGCGTTGTCCCTATCGTTGACCTTGGTTGTGTGTCGGATGCTGGGGGGCTGTGATGTGTGTGCGCGTGTGTGCTCGCTGTTGGTGGTGGTTCGTGCTCGTGGGTGTGTTTTGGTGCCCTCTGGCCCTGACGTGGTCGGTCTGTCGCCGGTCTTCCATGCACAATCGCCCAGCTGTTTGCCTCTGTCTTTCTAGACATGTTGGTGTTTTGGGGCCTCTGTGCTGCGTTGTCTTGTCGGGGTCCGCGCGTGCTGCTGTTTTTGTTCAGTATACCATTTTTTGTTATTCGTTATTGTTGGTTGGTGTGATTACTGTCGTTATGTTCATTGTTGTTATGTTTTTTGTTGTTATTGATTTTTTTATCGTTATTGTTGTTGGTGTAATTATTGTCGTTATTTTCATTGTTGTTATCATTATTATTATTGTTTTCATGATCGTTATGATAATGATGGGTATGATAATGGTAATAAATGATGATCAAAATAATGATAATTATTATCGTTGTTACTTATAATCGTTGTTATTATCATCCTATATTGTCTATATTATTTATATATTAGTATTAGTATGATCACTGTTACGGTTATTAATATTATCAATATGATCATTATCTGTTACGAGCGAGTGATTCTCTTTCTCCCTGTTTTTCGGTCTCGCTCTCTGACTCGTCGTGCGTCTCTCTCTCTCTCTTCTCTCTCTCTCTCTCTCTCTCTCTCTCTCTCTCTCTCTCTCTCTCTCTCTCTCACTCTCTCTCTCTCTCTCTCTCTCTCTCTCTCTCTTCTCTCTCTCTCTCTCTCTCTCTCTCTCCCCTCTCTCTCTCTCTCTCTCTTTCTCTCCCCCCCCCTCTCTCTCTCTCTACCCTTCCTCTTCTACATTCCTCCTCCCCTAACCTCCATCTCCTGCTTCACCTTCCTCCCTCCCTCCTTCCCCTTTTCCTCTTTCATCCTCTCCACCTTTCTCCCTCTCTCTCTTTCCCTTTCTCTCGCTCTCTCACCCTACATTCTCCCTCCCTTCTCCCTAGGATGCTCCCTGAGTCCGCCCGTTGGCTGCTTGGACAGGGTCGCGTGGAGGACACTGTGAGGATAATCCGAAGGGCAGCGAAGGTCAATGGCAGGACGCTTTCACCGAGAGTCCTGCAGGATCTACAGGTCAGGTCAGGGGAGGTCAGGGAGAAGGGGAAGTTAAGGGAAAGGGGGATGAGGAAGGGGGAAGGGAGGGAAAGGGGAGGTCAGGGAAAGGGAGATGAGGTCAGGGGAAAGGGAAGTCAGGAAGAGGGGGAAGGGGAGGTCAGGGTATTAGTAGTATTAGTAAAAGAAGAAGAGAAGAAGAGAAGACGAAGAAGAGAAAGAGAAAAAAATAAAGAAGATAAAGAAAAGAGGATAAAGAAGAAGCGAAGAAGAAGAAGAAGCAGAAGCAGTAGTAGTAGTAGTAGTAGAAGAAGAAGAAGAAGAAGAGAATAGTAGTAGAAGAAGAAGAAGAGAAGAGAGAAGAAGGAAGAAGAAGAAGAAAGAAGAAGAAGAAGAAGAGAGAGAAGAGGAGGAGGAGGGAGAAGTAGAAGAGAAGAAAAAAAGAAGTAAAAGAGAATGAAAAGGGAAGAAGAGAAGAAAGAGAAGGAGAAAAAAAAGAACTGCAGAACGAGAATAGGAAATGAAGAAGAGAAATTATCATTTATTCCTCCTATTCATTTTCTCTGTCTTCTTCCAGGTCTACGCATATTTCTCTTTTCTCCTTTTTTTCTTTCTATCATTTATTCCTCCTATTTCTTCCCTCCATCTCTATCTAGGACTACACATATTTCTCTTCTCTCATTTATTTATTTCTATCATATATTCCTCTTATTTCTTTTCTCTATCTCTCTCCAGGTCTACACATATTTTTCATCTCGCATTCTCTCATATTTCTATCATTTATTCCTCCTATTCCTATTCCATCTCTATCTAGGAGTACATATATTTCTCTTCTCTCATTTATTTATTTCTATCATTTATTCCTCCTGTTTTTTCTCTCTATCTCTCTCCAGGTCTGCAAATATTTCCTTCGCCCATTCTTTCATATTTCTATCATTCATTCCTTTTTGTCTTCTCCCTATCTTTCTGTAGGACTACAATTATTTTTCTCTTCTCATTCCATCATCTTTCTATCATTTACTCTTTGTCTTCTCATTCTCTCATCTTTCTATCATTTACTACTATTATTCCTTCTCTTCTCATTCCCTCATCTTCCTATCTTCTCATTCCTTCTTTTTTCATCCCTTCATCTTTCTGTCACTTATTCCTTCTCTTTTCATCATTAATTCCTTCTCTTCTCATTCCTTTATATTTCTATCATTAATTCCTTCTCTTCCCATTCCTTCATCTTCCTACCAATTATTCCTTCTCTTCTCATTCCATCATCTTCCTATCATTAATTCCTTTTATTCCTTCTCTTCCCATTCCCTCATCTTTCTATCATTAATTCCTCTTATTCCTTCTCTCCTTCTCTCTCCAGGACTTCGGCGAAAGGAGAATGGAAGAGAACACAGAAACCGTTATTCCTTCTCTTATTCCTTCATCTTTTTATCATTAATTCCTCTTATTCCTTCTTCCTCCAGGACTTCGGCGAAAGGAGAATGGAAGAGAACACAGAAACCGTTATTCCTTCTCTTATTCCTTCATCTTTTTATCATTAATTCCTCTTATTCCTTCCCTCCTTCTCTCTCCAGGACTTCGGCGAAAGGAGAATGGAGGAGAACACAGAAACCGTTATTCCTTCTCTTATTCCTTCATCTTTTTATCATTAATTCCTCTTATTCTTTTTCTTCTCCAGGACTTCGGCGAAGGAGAATGGAAGAGAACACAGAAACCGTTCTTCTCTTATTCCTTCATCTTCCTATCATTAATTTTTTGATTCCTTCTCTTTTCATTCCTCATCTTCCTATCAATCATTCTTCTCTCTCTTTCATTCCATCATCTTCCTATCATTAATTCCTTCTCTTCTCATTCCATCATCTTCCTATCATTAATTCCTCTTATTCCTTCCCTCCTTCTCTCTCCAGGACTTCGGCGAAAGGAGAATGGAAGAGAACACAGAAACCGTGACAGTTTTGGACCTTGTAAAGACGCCCATTCTCAGACGCCGCTTCCTCGTTCTCTGTCTCATGTGGTGAGTGTCTGTCTGTCTGTCTGTCTTGGATTTCTGTTTGTCTGTCTGTTTGTTTGCTGTTTTTTGTTTGTCTGTCTGACTTGGATTTCTGTTTGTTTGTCTGTCTGTCTGCCTGCCTGTTCTGTTTTTCTGTTTGTCTGTCAGTTCTGTCTGTCTGACTTGTTCTGTTTGTCTGTCTGTTTTTTGCTTGCTTGTTTTTTCTGTTTGTCTGTTTGTCTGCCTACCTGGTCTGTCTTTCTGTTTGTCTGTCAGTTTGTTCTGTCTTTCTGTCTGTCTGTCTGACTTGGATTTCTGTTTGTCTGTGTTTGTTTGCTTGCTTTGTTTGTCTGTCTGTCTGTCTGACTTGGATTTTTGGATTTTTGTCTTTCTGTTTGTCTGTCTGCCTGCCTGCCTGCTCTGTCTTTCTGTTTGTCTGTCAGTTTGTTCTGTCTTTCTGTTTGTTTGTCTGTCTGTCTGACTTGGATTTCTGTCTCTCTCTGTTCTGTCTCTCTGTTTGTCTGATTACCCTGTTTATTCCTCCCGTATGTCTGGCTGTTTTGTTAGCTTTCTTGTCTAGTTACCTGGATAATTTTGGGGGTAATTGACTAGGCATATTTTCGAATCTCTTTCTCTATCTATTAGTTTATCTATTTATCAATCAATCAATCAATCTATCTATCCATCTATCTATCTATCTATCTATCTATCTATCTATCTATCTATCTATCTATCTATCTATCTATCTATCTATCTATCTATCTATCTATCTATCTATCTATCTATCTATCTATCTATAAATACATATCACTTCCTCCTTTTTTCTTTCCTTTTCTCTTCCCTCACTCTATCCATCAATTCTTATTTCCTTCTTCCTTCTTCCCTTCATCCATCCATCCCTCAATCCCTCACTCCGCCCTTGCCTTTTTTCCCCTACTCTTATTTTTTTTCCTTTCTCCTCTTTCATTCTCTTCCTCTTCTCTCTCTCTCTCTCCTCTCTTCTTCTCTTCTCTCTCTCTCTCTCTCTCTCTCTCTCTCTCTCTCTCTCTCTCTCTCTCCCTCTCTTCCCTCCCTTTCCCTTCCTCCTCCCCTCTCTCTCTCTCTCTTTCTCTCTCTCTGCTTCTCTCTTTCTCCTTCTTTCTCTCTCTCTCTCTTTTTTTCTTTTTCTCCCTCTCTCTCCCTCTCCCTCTCTCTCTCTCTCACTCTCTCACTCCCTCTCCCCTCTCTCCCTTCTCCTCCCCTCTCTCTCTCCCTCTCCCTCTCATAATCTCACGTTAAAGAGACGCTACCAGTCAGCAGAGGAGATGTTGGATTGCTTCCCCCAAAATCATTTTCCTTTTCCTTTTCTCTCTTCACATCCCTCGCTCCGTCGCTGAGGTGATCACGTGACGCATTCATCCGTTTATTGGAGGAGTGTTTATTGGATGTAATGTTTGTATCGTGTGATTTGATTGTGTGTTTTTGGTGAATTGATGGGAAGCGTGTTGGTGAAATGTTTATTACGTTATTTTTGCGTTTGGGTTGATGATTTGAGTATGTTCTGTTGTTCTATTATTTTTATTGGATTTTTTGTTTTCAAATCAGCTGGATTCACCTAAAGGTTCTTGATTTTTTTTTGTATCATGGAAATGTCGAGGAAAATATTGTTGCATTTTTCATCTTACATATACACACATATCTATCTATCTATCTATATACATATGTATATTAATTAATCAATTTATCTATTTATTCGTTCATTTATTTATGTGGACACACACACGCACACTATCTCTCTCTCTCTCATTCATCTATTGATGCGTGTGTGTATGTATATATATATATATATATATATATATATATATATATATATATATATATATATATATATATATATAATATATATATATATATATATATATATATATATATATATATATATATATTATATATATATATATATATATTATATATATATATATATATATATATATATATATATATATATATATATATATATATATATATATATATATATATATATATATATATATATATATATATATATAATATAATATATATATATATATATATATATATATATATATATATATATATAATATATATATATATATATATATATATATATATATATATATATATATATATATATATATATATATATATATATATATATATATATATATATATATATATATATATATATATATATATATATATATATATATGTATATATATACATATATATATATATATATATATATATATATATATATATATATATATATATATATATATATATATATATATATATATATATATACACATATAAGAAATTTCCTTTTCATCCTCTCCTGCCGAGCCTATCCTTTTTCTCAGGCAATCCGTCGATCTGTTCTGTTGACATTTTTATGCACTCACTTTCGTTTTTTTATATATCTGTCTGTCTTTCTCGTTCTTTCGTACTCCCCCTCTTCTTTTTCTTTCTATTTGTTTATGTCTTTGTCTCTGTCTCTGTCTCTGTCTCTGTCTCTGTCTCTCTCTCTCTCTCTCTCTCTCTCTCTCTCTCTCTCTCTCTCTCTCTCTCTCTCTCTCTCTCTCTCTCTCTCTCTCTCTCTCTCTCTCTCTCCTCCCCCTTTTCATGTCTAGCTTTCTCTTTCTCTCTCCCTTCCTTTATCTGTCTTTTACCCTATCTATGAATACAAACACAAAAACAATAACGAGACAAAGAGAAAGAGAAAAGAAAAACACAAAGTGAAAAAGAAACAGACATAATATGAACGAAGCTCAACGTTTCGAACTCGCTAAAAGTTCCTCATCAGGCGAAGAAAATTATCCAAATAACCGTTACGTTCCTCACTTTTTTGGTTTGGCTCTCACCCTCCACCCCCCCTCCTCTCCCAAGGTGGAGGTGGGCATCGTCTACGGCTCAATCCCCCCCCCCCCACGTCATCCACCTCTCACTGTCTATCTCTCCTCTCCACTCTATCGCTGACCCCCACCCCTCCACCCACCCCAACCCTTGCCATCACCCCTACAACCCCCCCCCCCACCTTCAGTCTTTTCTACCCCCTACCAATCCTTAATTTCACGCACCCCCCCCCTTTATGTATCTCATCCACCTGTAACCTGTAACATCCATCTTGTAATGTTCCTGTACTTCTCAGCGTGTAGACTTACCCTATGACTCTACCCTGTAATGACCTGTAATGACACAACTTGTAAACCCCCTTTGTAAGCCTCTATCCCTGGATTCCCCCCCCCCTCCCTGCAACCTCTCACCCCCTCCCCCAGGGTGACGTGGGCATCGCCTACGACTCACCCCTTCCCCCTCCTTCTCCCCCAGGACCCACACCTCCAACCCCCCTCTCACCCCCTCCCCCCTCCTCCTCCTCAGGGTGACGGTGGGCATCGCCTACGACTCACCCCTTTCCCCCTCCTTCTCCCCAGGACCCACACCTCCAAACCCCCTCTCACCCCCTCACCCCTCCTCCCCCCCAGGGTGACGGTGGGCATCGCCTACGACCCACACCTCCAACCCCCTCTCACCCCTCCCCCTCCTCCTCCCCCAGGGTGACGGTGGGCATCGCCTACGACCCACAACTCCAACCCCCCTCTCACTCCCTCCCCTCCTCCTCCCCCAGGGTGACGGTGGGCATCGCCTACGACGCCCACATGCGCAACACGGCCAACATCGGCCCCAGCGTCTTCTTCACCTTCACCCTCGCCGGCTTCGTGGAGCTCCCGGCGGACCTCCTGACGATGCTCTTCATGGAGAAGCTCGGGCGGCGCCACACCCTCGTCTGGACGGTGGTGGTGGCGGGCTGTCGTGCCTCGCCGTGCTGCTACCTGTGGGTGAGTTGGGTGTGGGGTGGGTTGGGGGGGTAGAGGAAGGTGGGTTGAGGGAGAGATAGGTGGGTGGGTGTTTTTCTTTGTGGGGGGGGGGGGAGGTTGGTTGAGGGTGGGTTTGAGTGGGTAGGTGGGGGTGGGTTGGGGGAGAGATAGGTGTTTTTTTTTTTTTTTTTTTTTGTAGCGGGGAGGAGGTTGGATTCGGGTGGGTTTGAGTGGGTGGTGGAGGTGGGTTGGGGAGAGGAAGGTGGGTTGAGGGAGAGATAGGTGGGTGTGTTTTTTCTTTTATTGGGTGGGAGAGGTTGGATTTGGGTGGGTTTAAGTGGGTGGGTGGGGTGGGTTGGGGGAGAGATAGGTGTTTTTTTGTAGGGGGGGAGGTTGGATTCGGGTGGGTTTGAGTGGGTGGTGGGGTGGGATGGGAGAGGAAGGTTTTTTTTTTTGGGGGGGGGGGGAGGTTGGATTCGGGTGGTTTGAGTGGGTGGGTGAGGGTGGGTTGGGGAGAGGAAGGTGGATTGAGGGAGACACAGGTGGGTTGTGTTTTATTATGTTTTTTTTCTGGGGGGAGGGGGCGGGGGAGGGATTTGGGTGGGTTCGAGTGGGTGGGTGGTTCGAGGGCGTTTTTTTCGAGGGGGGGGGTGACCGGATGTTGGGAAAGAAGGTCGGGTTGGCATGTTAGCGGAGGAGGGGGTGGGTGGGGGTTGGGGGTGAGGGTTATGGCACTCTGGCTAAACGTGGTGCAACTGTTTTATGGTAAATTTTTTCAGCACATTTTCTTGGAAAAGGTTTTAGTAACAACAATTATAAAACAATAATGATAATATAATGAAATGCCGAAAAAGAAACCAAGAATAAAAGAAAAAAAAACAATAATAAAGGTTGAATCTAAAAGTTGCCAACTAGGATTTTCATCAAGATAGAGTGTGTGTACCTGTCTAAAAATACCTTGCACCTTACAACCTACAACTCGAAACATCAAGCTTTATTAAGTCACATGATACTGTAGCCATGTTGTATTTTCGAGAAGAGAAATCACCGGAAACAGCAGAATGCCATATTAATTATCGTATATTCATTTGGTATCTCATGATTCGTTAATTAACTGTTTCAATACGGCGGACAGGGAAAAAAGGCTTGTTAAATAAACGTGTTTTGAACGTGTAACAAGGTCAGCGATTGTTTGGATGTCAGTTAGGCTTTGTTGTGAAATGAACGTAGCGGAAGTGCATCATATTCTATCATGGAATATTTAATATAGAATTGTGCAAAATAAATTATGGAAAGATGTAGAATAAAAAAAATCTTTCTCTTCTCTTAACAATCCTTCCTCTTCACCCTTTCATAACTACCACTACCACTACACCCACACTCCTCCCTTGCCCATCTCCTTCCCCTTCCCACACTGTAGAATCAAAAAAAAACACTCCTCACCCCTACTCACTCCCTTCACTCCCCTTCCACCCTCTCTCCTCCCTCTCCCCACTCTCCCTCTCCCCTCTCCTCTTTCCTTCCTCTCTCTCTCCCTCTTTCTCCTCCTCTCCCCCCTCCCTTTTCCCTCTCCCTCCACTTCCCTTCTTATCCCCCTCCCATTCCCTCCTCCCTCCCACTCCCTATCCCTCACCCTCTCCCCACTCCCTCCCCACTCCCCTCACCCTCTCCTCCCTCCTCCCTCTCCCGACTCCCCACTCCCTCTCCCAGGCGAGGACGCAGCCATCATGGTTCTGGCGATGGTGGGGCGGTTCATGATCACCATGGCCATGAACGTGGGCATGCAGTACCAGGTGGAGGTGCTGCCCACAGTCGCCCGTGGGCAGGGCATGGCGTTCATTCACACTGTGGGCTTCCTCGCTGCTTTCGTCTCGCCATACATCGTCTACTTGGTACGTTATAAGTACGCCATAAGTAAGTAAATAAGGAATGTCACCACGAACCGAGATTGTGGATTGACGATGTTTGGATTCACAATCTTT